TACATTGGACAATACACTTGTTGTACAAAGCACTGCATTGAAAATAAGCTTAATGCAATAACAAGCCCAAGTGGTCATAATAACAATGATGATGATGATGATCATGATGAATTACCTCAACGATTACTACCAGACTTTATTGCATCTTACGATACATTCAACAAAAGTCAATAGATGATCATGCACAAAGGCACAGATATTATATAGTTATACAAACTTTAGTAGGTATCTCTTTCAAGCAGTGTGTGTTTTTAATAATAACTTTTGATGCTATTTTTCAACTGTGGCGTAACTGTACTTGTAATGACATGTACATGTACATGTATATATCATGCATACATGAATTATGTGCTAGCATACGAATTATACACTTTATGTGTTATTATTAAGCAATATGTGTTACCTTATGTAATCACATTCATTATAATAAATATTATAACAATTTATAATGCTTACATTTTTGCCCACATCTTTGTTCATACTTACTTAAATATTTTATATTTGAAAAATCAAAATCATATGATACTGTCAACTAAAATCGAAAATAAAACAGTGGTAATGAATACTCACATTGATGTATTATGCTCTGATTGTTGATGATTGTTGTTCTTTCTCTTTATTGTGACTCAGGATACATCTTGTCAATTTCATCTTTATATTTCTGAGCAGTGACACTTCTCTTCAGTTTCATTGTTGAAGTTAGTTCATTTCCTTCGATACTGAACTCAACTGGTAGTATAGTGAACTTCTACAATTTTAATAATAATAATAATAAAGTAATGAAATAATTATGCAAATATTTAACACATTAGTTCACAATAATGGATATCTCCAAGGGGTCAAATTTTAAGAATTGAAATGAATGGAGTGATCCCAAGCGAACCACATAATTTAAACATTTTCCAAAACCTTGTATCATTGTAATTTCTTCCTCTTCTTATTAAAATAGATATAATCCACAATCAACACACATAACAAATGTAGTTACATATACATGTACCCACTCCTTAAGTACCTGAATGCGTGCAGCTCTACTGATTGCTTTCTCATTAGCTCTCTCCATTCCTTCTTGTATCAACTGCTTAACAATATCATCATCCTTAGCCTCAGTAACTACATACAGTATAAGAGGATAAGGATCTTACTATACAATAATAATTACCAGTAGTTGATTGAGAGTTGTGTTGAGATAAAAGTGCTACAACAGAATCTGTTAAATTGTCAGTTGGACTTTGATTCTCATCAACCTGAAATAGAGAGAATGAGAGAGGTGAGCTAAAAAATTGCTGGTAAAGTTTCTTAGAAATGCGGATAACTCAAAAAATAGCTATAAAACTTTTTACAAGTCATATCACAATAATTACATGTATAAATGTAATTTCCTTCAATACAATCATGGTACATGCATTATGTATGAATTTTAAGAGAGGAGAGATTAAAGGATGCGATCTTTGCTTACTTTAACACGTAGTGTGACCAGCATTGTTAGATATTTCTTATCATCTCCAACCAACATTACATTACTAATGATAGGGACCTCCTCTTTAATACACTACATTAAAAATCATACAAATAGACGTAAAGTATAAAATTTCAAATGAGTTATCATTAAATTAAGTGTACATAAAAGTACAGGGTCTACATTGTATGTACATGTACATGTATACACCTACATACTGTATATGCCATATA